ATTTGACCACATTACAACAGTATTTTTGCTTTGTATAATTAGATATTATATAGAATAAGGTGCTAAGGAGGATGTAAAAAACCTTGACCAATGTGAACGACTAAAATGCTCTTTTGATCTATTCGATACGTACCTGATAGCCAATACTTTTCCCAAGTTCTTGGCCCCTTTCTTTAGCCACTCTTTCTGCAATTGACATAGCAACTATTCTGCGAGGCTTAAATGATTAAAAAAAGAATACTTTAAAATGTTTGAAAAACACATAATTAAATTCTATCTACAGATCTTAGTTAGGCAGAGCTATTGCATGGAAGTGATGACATAGTAGACTTAGACTTGCAGTGATAAACATGGACCATATTTTCACACATACACACTAAAATGACTAAAATGCATATTCATTTGTATCTGTAACCAAAAGCAAAATAACTGTCTTCCTTTGATAAATAGACTTATGGCTACTTTTCAAGATAGTGCTGGGAAAACAAAAATGTAATATTATATTAAAATACTCAATACCTGTGTGACAATAATATTACAGGATGAACCCTTTTCCTTTTTAATGGCATCATCCAAGACAAACTGAGGGACCTTAGGGTAGTAAATATCAATTTTAGTTAAATACATAAATTAGTACCATGAACTCTTGACAAATGCTGATGTTAAGGACACTGCATTAAGGACACTTATTAATTAACAAATCCACACTTCAAAGAAAGTACTGAAACAAATTCAGCAATGTTTAACAAGGTTTGTGCTAAGTCTTGCAAGTGCAGTTAAAAGATCTTACTTTACCTGGGTTGTCTTCCCACATCCTGTCTCACCAGACACAAGAACTACYTGGTTGCTATTGATTAAGTTAGTTACTTCATTTCTAGAAAGAATTTCTTGTTATTAAATAACAAAAACAACTATAAAAGCAGAGTACATGACTGTATAATTTCACAAAAAGGAAAATGAAATACAAAATGGTAATTATAAAAAACTGGAATGAAAATGATAATCAAACATAAAATGATAATCACCTTCCATAATTATTTCGATTCAAAAAATATTGTTATTTTAAAAAAAAACACTCAACTTAAATAATCTATTGTCTAAACAATCTTGTTTTTATTAGTTAGAAAACCTACTCAACCATTTGCAACAATCTTTCACTTACATTGAAAGCAAATTTTACCTCATTTTTGTGACTGGAAGGTTCTCTGTACTTTCTCGTATTTGTCTCATCATTGGACTATTTATTTTTTGTAAGTCAGACAACTCTTTCAATAAAGTTTTATTCAGTTGCACACTGTCCTCGTCTTTTTTTAGAATTCCACCAGTAAAAACATCATAAATCTCCTTATCATTTCCACAAACAGCACTAGACTGATGTAAGGAACATTTTTGATGAGTGTCCTCCTGTGATGGGTGCTCRTACACCCTGYTGGATAACGTGCTTTGACATTTGCTAGTAATTTTCTCCATTGTTAGATTTGAKACAACAAGTAAAGGCTCTATTCTGCTCATTACACATTCAGGTATTTGAATTTCCTCTGGTTCATCGTCTCTGTTGATTTCTTCTTTTTTGGATAAAATTGATGTTCCTGAGCTTCCTACTGGGAATCCCATTTCCTAAAAAAAAAAAAAAAAGAAATAAAGAGAAAAGAGATGAACAGATTTTTGCAGTCAACTTGTCTCACCTAAACAATGTTTTTGGTTGTTGGTGTCATTTTAGGAAGTGTTCATCATTTTTGGAGGGGACGGGAGGAGAGGGGAGGGAAGGGGAGGGGAGGGGGAAAGAGGGATGAGCGATATACTGTGGGTCTTGAAATAACCTTTGACTTGTTGAAAGGGGTAGAAAAACTAATAAATAAGGAATCATCTAAGAATCAATGTATAACACACAGAGTGGACCAGCGACAGGTATTTGGAGAAAATTATATTTTTCTGTAATCTAACATGTACACCTAGGCAATATCTCAAGTATTTTATGTATAGTTTACAACATGAGCGGCCGTGTTGTATGGGAATTACAATCTCGAGCCGCAGGCGAGAGATTGTAATTCCCATACAACACGGACGTGAATGTTGTAAACGACTTATAAAACTCCAACACAAATTAACATGAATTACAGTGAGATAAATGACGAAAAATGACAAATAAGGTAACTGCTGAGTTTAGTCCCTATTAAGCATGCGCAATTTACTGCAACACAGAATATTTTGAATAATTATCCATCCCACATGGAAAGCAAGCCATCTGTTGCATAAGCGAGTTCTGTTATCCGTCTTTGATTGCTTCAAAACCTAGTGAAGGTCTATGATGCGACACTAAAACTGAGACCTTTGCTAGTGTTGGGTTGTCTCAATGGTGACGACCGTGTTGTAAATCTGATACAACCACTAGCGGTCAATCACCTGATTAAATGGTCAGCCCTTATTGGAGCAATAGCTTATGCATTATTAATAAGTTTTATAA